CCGCCTCTTCATTGAATACAAGCGAAACAGCTCAGGTTAGTTGAGGCCACACTGTAATGCATGACAAAAACTATGGTCTTAAGTACAAGAATCACTTCTTTGAATGCCCCGTGCAGTACTGAAAACCCTGAACGTCTTTCAGAACAAAACTATGGCCTTACCTCGGGGTATTTTCGATTTATAATTGACCAACCAAGTTCATAGATTTCATCAGGTGTTTTTTCAGTTGTGGTGAAGTACTGCATAAGCTTAAGATAGGTGGCCTTCCCATCAAGTTTTTCACCAGTGGGGAGAGTCTTCGTTGTCGTTCTGTTCGTTTTCGTTCCGTTGATGTAAATGAAGTCAAGAGGTAAGTTTGCCAAGCCGCTGGACAGCTCACTCGGGGCGCAGTACTGTAAATGTTCCTTTTCGATATACCTTGAATTTGAAATAAAAACGATTAACTGTCATACACACTGAAGCCGGCTGTCGGACAACCTCGATCCCAGGCTCTCTCTCCTTTGCTTCCCCTGTCGTTAAAATGAGAGAGTCTGGGATCGAGGTTGGCTGTCGGGTTTAGTTTTGGTTCAGGCCACAATTAGGCTCGAATACTAGCCGCTGTTCGGGAAAGGAGCCCGCGCTCCAAGGACGTACACCGAACTCGAGAGAGTGGCGGAAATCGAGTCTACGCCCCAATTGGCCTCGGGTATTATAGAAAACTACAGTAGCCTGCCTGAAGTAATTTCTTCACCTTGTGACATCAACTAACTTCAGTACGAATTGATAATAGTTTTTTCAGTATATTTTTCGGTTAATATATGTTTCCAAAAGTTAGTTTAGAGAATTAACTAATATCAAGTGCATCTAGTGCAAGTTATCGTCTGCAATGTAAGGGGCATCCCTCGAAACGAATGTTTTGTTGACTAACGTGTGGACAGCCTTGGAGAAAGTCATCTTCGACTATGAAATTGACCGCTGTTAGTTTTGAACGGAGACTTGACCAACACCGGTCCTTTTTCGAGCCGATGATACCCGACCACCCCACGGGCTGCATGACCTGGGTTCAAATCAGTTAATCAATTGTTATCTCACCTTAACGCACGCTGAATTGGCTCACCAACATACTCAATAACAAACTGTCTCAATGACTCGTTCACTGATCTCCCGTGTTTGACTTTCCACAAATCCAATTCTCCTGACGTCATCTTGGACAGAAATCCATCAACTAAAATTGCCTTCATGTACGTGGCATCGAGGATTCCTAGCAATCAAAACACCGCACATGTTAGTCTGGAATAGGTATGCCAAGAACAACGTACATGAGAAAATTGCAAAGATCATCACCAACATCGCTGCATAATGAGAATATTCAGAATTAGGGACTAATCATGATACATAATTGTTCAAACAAAGCCGGTTTTTGTTAGCCTCTCTGATAATTTATCCAGAAAATTTTCTCTTATCTTCAAAAAAAAAAATAATAAAATGCAAATTTTACTACCCTAAAACCAATTAAGTGTAATATTCTTTTCTCGTAAATCTAATCAAATTCGAAATTTGTTTCTGGTAATTCGGTACAAGTTCCTATACCTATGTATTGCAAAGTTTGGTAATCCGCCATTCCTGGGAAGTTTTAATGAACTCAAAAATCGCTGCAGTT